TATAAATTGAAACAGAATTCATTTGTACATAAATATCTCCCTTGTTACAATTTAACCTCCCATACATTAACACTAAAGGATTTGCTTCCTACAGAGAAATAGTATCCTTGCTACGTAGGTATAATTTATTTTACTATTTCCTTCCACTTTCTTGTTTTGAAATGCGTTGGTAAGAACCGAGCTATATAACGGACTAACCCTTTAGAGCGTCTAGACTATGACGCAATTAATTCGAATATTCTATTGCAGTGTTTCCCAAAATGTGGGGCACGATCCCTGAGGGGTCGCCGAGTCTCTACAAGCGGGTCGCAGAAGATTTCGAAGCCGTAAAAAAATAACATTCTGAAATATATTCTTATTAAGAAAATGTTCATTAAAAGACATTTATTATGTATACTACCTTACATAGGGTAAGGTAGCCCACCTACTTTTCCACGAAAGCGGTTCGCAACGTAATCGATGTTTGTTTATAGGTATTCATTGCATATTATTTATTTATTGTATTGTATTTAACCAATACCTAATTATAAAGATAAAAAATGTACAGATCTGATATTTGTAATAATATAAAATACTTACAGGTTAGGAACCGTGGAGGGTAGGGAATCACAAAACATTTTTACATACTAGGGAGTTCATGTTAAAGTAGATAACCTCAATGGTAAAAATATTAATTCTTTTTTATTATTGACAGTTTATTGAAGTGTGCTTGTCTACTAATAAAACTAAAAGACCGATGTCTTTTCCTGTTGCATATTATTTTATTTAGCTTTCTCCAACAGTTCAGGCCTTTAGGGTAAAGGGTCCCCCCCCCACACGACCATCCCAAAATGAATACAACTAATTACCGAACGGAAATAAAAAAAAACTATAAAAAATGTAATACACAATCATATATCGCTTAGTCCTTTTTAGGAGTCATAGGTTTTCCTTAGACATTTCTCTTGATTCACTTTTCCTTCTACATTTTTTTATAAATCTGCATGATACGTGAGATAGAATGAGTTAGGCATAGACAGTACAAAAGTTTTGTTATTTTTATGTGGGAACGAATATGTAGATACCAATAAATTCATTTGCCTGATTATGACTGGTCAAACTTAGATTTCTATTGGTTCTTGTATTCTTCCACTTTCACGATAATGATTTATTTATTTATTTTTTATTGACCACATTACAAAAAAAATGTCTGGTACAAAAGGCGAACTTAATACTATATAGCATTCTGTCCCAGTCAACCTTTGGCAAAACAGAATTGGCAATTTGGCAAATTTAATTATGCTGTAAAAAAATAAAAAATTGTAGCAAGTAAATATATACATGTACGTATCGATATACTTACAAATCACAACACATACATTGAAGAACTACTGCACATTTATAGTTGATTCCATTCATCCAACATTTTTTCCATATCCTTCGGTTTGAAGGGTGGAATATGGCGTGAATTTACAGGGTACAGAGGAATAACACCTGAGTCCTCAGGAATGGCAACGCATGGGAGGTATCATGGGCGAAACAGTATACTTTGTTATGTCCATGATACTGCTCATATCTATAGGCAACGGTTACCACTTTCCATCAGGTGGGCCTTCAGCTTGTTTGCCATTCTAAGTTGTATAAAAAAAAATTCAATATTACGATGTCTGTAGTAACTTGACAATGTCAATAATGGGCACTCTATAAAATAATATTGTATACAATTGGTAAAATCGAACTTCAATCCACTGAATTCGTTCTAATCTAAACAATTTTGTTAATGCCACGTTTATATTAGCTTATCTTGATATGACGTTACTGCGTAATAATCTTCCATAATCTATTTTTTTTTATGCAACTTAGAGCGACAAACAAACTGACAGCCCATTTAATGGAATATGGTAACCGTCGCCTATAGACATGGACAATAATATACGAGTATGCTGTTACGCCCACGATACCTCTGCCATTGCCGTTTATGAGGACTATGTATCTAGTAATTTCTCTGAATTATCCCAGCCTTTAAATTGAAACATAACTATGCAAACACAACTGCTTCATAGCAAAATCACTGATAAGACAGAGGTACACAAGCATACGACTTTTGTACAAAGTCTCCCTATGATATCTATTTCACATAAAGTTTTTAACGGAATAGGCATAGATAATCGATTGCCACAAGGTTCGACTCTTACATACATCTCTTGCTCCATATACTTCCATAAAAAATCTCACGCGTGCACACCGATTTCGGAGACCACTCTCGTATTTCTATGACCTACATGAATACTCTGTTAAATAAAAATCAATACTATGTGTGTATATATATATATATATATATATATATATATATATATATATATATATATATATATATATATATATATATATATATATATATATATATATATATAATCATCATTTCAGCCATTATCCGTCCACTGTTGGACATAAGCTTCCCCCATAGACCGCCATACAGAACGGTCCTGAGCCGCCTGTATCCACGGACTCCCTGCAACGCATTTCAGGTCGTCACTCCATCTAGTAGAGGCTCGTCCTACACTGCGTTTATCCGTACGTGGTCGCCACTCAAGAATCTTTTTTCCCCATCGGTTATAGGTTCTAACACTGATGAACACAGACCTCACCCTATTGGTTTTGCTAGTATTTACCACGCTTAGCAGGCGGGTTGGCATCCACAGTTAATCTTTGGTGACGTTTTAAAAGGGACGCTGCTAACCATACATTATCTTATAAATATTTACATATTTACTTTATAAATAATTAAGTAACTGCTAATCCAGCAAATGCTGTCCTATACAAATTTTACAGCGTACTCCTTATTTTGGGTTCATACCGTTTCGGACCCTTTACCATGTTATTTCGTTGGCATTAAATTCAACTACATAATGATTATAGAATTTTAAGTAATCTCCACTCTACGCTTTGACTTTGTAATGTAATTTAAAAACTAGTAAAACGTAATTAACCATAGAATATAGAAAATAGTTGCTTTTATTTCTACGTAATGAACAAAAAAAAACTTGAAATCAGGCGCAAATATTAGAATAGTACCTGGGATCCTGTTATAAATATGAATACATATACTCCTTTATTTGCGTCAGGATAAAGGCAACCATATAAATCGTCCCTATCAAAGTTGTAATCGAGAGTATAAACAAACATTATTTTTCCCCAATTTTCCGGGAAACTTTAGCAACTTTTCTTTTTCTAAGAACGTTCATCTATATTACTTTTTAAGGTACAGGATTTTCAAAATTTATGTTCATTTTATATCTACACTAATATTATAAAAAGGAAAGAATTTGATTGTTTGTTTGTTAGTTAAAATTTTTTTTCCACCTATAATAATAAAATTTAACAGCGAATAACATAGACTATATATCATTTTAAAGAAATTTAAAGATCCCTATTGTTTACTCGTGTAAAGGCCCCGGCTTTACACGGGCTCACTAGTTTGTACAATTATAACATTGGTTTAATCCAACACAGTTTATTGTCACGACAAACTATCGACAAGCCTGGGAAATGAAAGCTGCTATTGTGGAAGGAAATTGAAAACGATGCCACGTTCATCAAATACGTTTAATAGATAGACATTTAATACACTCTCCATCCATTGAATATTTTATAAGTTTACGACTATTTTTAATTTAATTACATGATATACCGTTAGGTGTTTAGTCAAGTATTTTTTATTATCATCATCATATCAGATTTTAACTGTCCTTTGCTAAAAAAAAGCCTCCCATTTAGGTTTTGCCAGTAGTTGCCACGCTTGACAGGAGGATTGGCAACCGCAGTTAGACTTTAGATATGTTTTAAGAGAGACACTGCAACCCACCCCTCGCCCTGCCTTAGTCACCTCTTACGACACCCACGGGAAAGGAAGAGGTGGCCTATTCTATGCCGGGACACACACGTCTGTAATTTTTTATATTTATTACTAAATGTGGGAAATACGCTTACAGCCCACTTGATGAAAATTGAACATTATAGAGTACACTGTAATGTTGATTTTTTATACTACTATAGTAACAAAGAAACATACGGCCTTTCTCATGGTAAACGGGGTTGCCGTAGCTTATGGACGCCTGTAACATTAGGGATATCACGCGATCGTTGCCGATATTTAAGAAACTTTAATACGCCATTTTTTAAGAACCTCAAGCTGTAGTCTTTAGAGAAAACTTCAGCAGGAAAATAAATCCAAACCTAAGCATTTGCAGGAGGAAGCTTCTCTGAAATCACATTGTACGTGACCATTTTGGTTCTAGGGTGTGAGGATAGATTTCTTGCTGATGCCGAGCTGTGCGATGGTTAAAGGTGGTTTTAGAAATCATGTTCATGTTCGTATGTAGTCTTTAGCCGTCATGTAACACACGTTACAATAACTGCTTAGAGTTATTCCTTAATGATATAGTATCCAACTTATATATTTATTGACAAGAATATGTCCCTCGTGCCTCCAGGCAACGAGCATAATATGAGAAACATACGGATGCACGTCTTCTGCAGCAAGCATAATGCATATCCCATATGGACTCTAAGACAAATGACATATGGTACAGTAACTGTTCTAGTCATACAACTATTGCTGGCATAATTCTTGATTTCAATGCGTCCCACGTCTTCCGCAGTAAACATGTGTATCCCACGTTGAATATACTTAGCGTCCGGTTGCCGAAAATACACGACCCAAGATCAGTCTAATGTTACTTGGCACGTAGTGCAGTAGCTGTTTCAAAATTTTATTGGCTTAATATCCATTATAACATTAATGTTGACATTTTTTATACCACGAAGATGGCAAACAGGTCGATCTTCACGTGGTCCACCCTAGAAATCATCGTGCTGAATTTCAGATGTATTCATCACGGTGGGCTAACTGAACTGCCTTATCATTTTCACCTATCATCCTTCACTGGTGCCCCGGCAGCGTATACCGTTAGCGCAGGCGGGGTCACCATTACATTATTGTACATTAAAAAGTAACTTACTGGCATAGTATCCAACGTCATTGTTGACATTAATGTGTCCCGCGTCCTCCGCGGCGAGCATGTGCGTGTCCCACACGGACCGATACTCCGGGTCGTGAAGCACGTCGTACAGGGCATCAGGTTCCACATCGTCGAACTCTGCGACCACCTGTGGACAAATAGATCTTGAGGTTCGTTGGTATTTACTTTCGATCTGTTTGTACATTTCATTGATTTACCCTATATCTATATATGTAACGGAAAATTAACAATTGTCGGAAACGATAAAATTAATAAACGGGAAAAACGTGAAATTAATGAAGTCACTGTCAATGAAGACTTCATTAATTTTCCGTTACATATGTATATAGACATCTATATTACGAGTATTAATTAAAAATAGTCTGATATCAAGACATTCCAGACCACTTACGTTCCTCTATGTAACTTACATACGAAGGTCTCTGATGCTTATAAACGTAATAAGTAATAATAATAATTATCGAAAAATAGATTATTGAACAAATGTAATATTTTTGCCGTATAGGTCCCATAGCTTATAGAATAGGCCACCCCTTCCTTTCCCTTAAGTTTTGTACGAGACGACTAAAGAAACTTAAAACATCACCAAATGCCAAACTAAGGTTGCCAACTCGTCTGCTAAGCGTGGCAACTACTGGCAAAATTCCTCTGATGGGGGAGGCTATGTTCAGCAGTGGAAAGTTAACAGGTGATACAACAATATTTTATACTAGCTTTATTTTATTTTAATAAAAATCTCCATCCTATATCGTAAGTGTATATCAAATTTCATAACGATTGGCCAAGATGTTAAAACGTTAAGTTGTAACAAATATATTCACTTTCACATTTATAATAAGATTCTATTAGGCGTGTACTATTTAGACATTTGAACCTTTTTACTAAGAATCGCGATCGCAATTTTCTTTCTAATTTTTTTTTCTTCCTTCAAACTGACAAGTATCACGAAGAGGAAGACTACGGAGACCAGCCGTTCATACCCGAAGAGTTCCGCCCACCGTCTTTCTTATCTGTGACGATGCCGCAAGCGCCTATAGCTCGCGCTCAGCAGAGGCATGCATTCAGGCTCGTGCTCACGTCACAATCGTTCATGACTACAGATAACGAATTGATTCCGAATCTAGTCGAGCTTTTTCGATCCAATTACAAGTAAGTTAAACCGGTAGTTATTACGTTAAAATACAATGCTTACTAAAATTTTTAACAATAAAAAAGTAAGATAAAGAACAAGAAATTACAAAATCTTTGAGTAAGACATATACAGCTGTGGAGACTTTGTACAAAAGTCTGCTTGTACATTGTCCCATTCGTGTTTCAACCGTGAAGCAGTTGTGTTTGCATGGCTGTGTTTCGGTTTAAAGGGTTGGGATATGGCGTGAATTTACTGGGTACGGAGGAATAACACCTTAGTCCTCAGGAATATCAACGCATGGGGGATATCATGGGCGAAACAGTATACTCTGTCAACCAACCCAAAAGATAAGTTTGGCAATCCAAAGAGGTAATGCTGCCAGTATCTTGGGTACGCTGCCTCGGTGTGGTGCGTTGGGAGATTACTTTTAATTGTTATTAGTATTTAAGGAATTTTGTAAAAAAAAAGAATTATATTTGTATTAGATTTTATTTTAATTGTGGCACTAGTTCAATGACGAATAATGTTAAAATTAGGTATACTCTGTTATGTCCATGGTACTGCTCATGTCTATAGGCGACGGTTACCACTTTCCATCAGGCGGGCCGTCAGCTTGATTGTCATTCTAAGTTGTATATAAAAAAAACAGCTACATTATTCCAATATTGAATAAATACATATTATTAATATTGAATACTAATAAATTCCTAGCTATTCCTACTCATTCTACAGATATTTCTAAATACAAACTTTCGTATTAACGTAATTATGGCCAATGCTTGCAGATTATTGCCTCTAAATAATATGGGACAGCTACCTATTCTGAGAAACCAAAGTTAGGCGCGCCCAGAAGTTAGTTGCTTTGTTACGGTAGACTATCCAACATATTTACAAATGAAATTATCTACAATCATTCTCACAGTTGGGAATTTTTGCTAATATTAGTACATGGAAAGGAACATTTTACTTAGTGGAAAAAAAACAATGCAGTTGTAAACATATACACAATCTAATAGACGGTAAGATGTAAATATGGAACATTTTTTATACATCTTAGAATTGCAAAAAGTTGACGGTCCACCTGATTGAAAGTAGTAACTGTGGATTATAGAAAAAACAGTACTATGAAAATTACATTGCCATATGGTCCCAGGATAGAATGCCCCCGCCGCCCCTTTCTTTCCCGTGGGTGTCGTAAAAGGCGACTAAGGCAACATAATGGGCGAGAGGTTGGCAGCAGCGTCCCTCTTGATACATTACCAAAACCTAACTGTGGTTGCCAATCCGCATTCCAAGCGTGGCAGCTACGATCAGCAATAAATACTGGCTAATATGATGATGATGGAGATTACAGAGTATACTATGACACCCATGATACCTCCCATGAATTTCCATGCTTTACCATTGAGATGTTATGCAACGTTATTGCGTAATATCAATGCTGTCACCTTTCAAACTAAAACAAAGCTACTCATACATAGCTACATGACGGTAGAAACGTAGTAGGACGGAGGTACCCAAGCAGACTTTTGAACAATTCTCCCTCTGGTAACATATTGAAAAAATTTGAAGCACGGAATTATGTATTTACAAGCAAATTTTGCTTCCCAACAGGCAGTTCTCCGAACAAAAACACATTCGTCACAAAATTAATATAGAACCAACATGGGGGTGAACTGTACCGTTTACAAATGGAGCCATCGAAATCGGTTCAAAATTGGTAATTGCATAATATAGCTATAAAACAAATGCTTCAAGAAAAGCGGGTACTTTTTACTTTTTCATACAATTTTGCGTGATAAATAGTAAATGAAACACCTTTATAACTTCTATATTTGTTTTGTTTTATAGTGTTTACATATTTTTAATGTGTAAAAACTCATTTTATTTATTAAATAATTAAATATAGATACGTCAATATACATTATGTACGTAAATATGTATATAGAACACTGATAAAAAAAACAAGTCAGTTTTAGTAAAAAAGTTGACCCGTTTTTTAAACTCGATGCTCTATCTATATATATAATCCAAGGGTTATACGCTGCGGAATACAACTAATATTGTCGTAATTATGATAGCTAAATCAAACAATAATAGGATTCAAAACTCGGTGATTTACAACGTTCCAGCACAATATTGTACACAAAGGAGCTAGGGGATGTACTTGCGTTCCCTTATTGCAATCAGCTGTGCGGCGATGTAATAAGGAAAACAATTTACTACTCCGTACAAAGAGAATTGGAAGCAAGAGCGAATTAAAGCAGCCAATTCTATTATATTAATATTATAAAATTAAATGTTAGATGCTATGGTTGGATGTTCGTTGCTCAAACACATTTAAACAAGTGAATGGATTTTAATAAGATTTTGTAAATTATTTGACTATGCCCTGGACATTTATAAATGGCTAAATGAATAAAAATGAATCCTTACTAAATGAGTATTAATAAATATAAGTTGAATTGTTTATTAGACTTTAAATTTGGTATATAGATGGAATATGATACTTGGAATGGAATGGATACTTATGGAATGATTAATGGAAGATGCAGACGAAGTCATGGATAAAGGCTAGATAATAATAATAACGGCAAAATTTATCTAAAAGAAGGAAGTTTTAAATTCGGTTGTATTTTTTTTTTATATTCGTTACTTCTTAACTTTCTCAGTTCTCGATTTGGATTTTTTTTTCCTGAAATGACATACTTACATTTTAGTACCATAGAAATTTTATTAAGAAAGAAGATTAAAAATTTAGAAAATTAGAAAATTATTATGGAATGTCATTTTATTTAAAAATTGAACCAATGTTCAATTTTTAAAACAAAATAATTACTTTTGTCACAATTGAAGTAATTTTTTTTTTGTGGGAAACATCAATCATCTATTATTATCAATAATTCTCAACAATTTTTTATTCCCAATTGAATAGATTTACTTCAGTTTTAATCTTATATAAAAACATGACGAAACGTCATAATTGAAGCCGTGGTTTTTTTTCTATATATATTTATACATGTTTCTGCGTTTAAAATATAAAATATAGTTCAAATTAATTTGTCTATGACACATTTAATTATATATTATTATGTTTTATTCATTTAAAAACAGAATATTAAGGTTACTTAGTTATTTTATTAATTTTAATGTAAACAATAGAACAAAGTTTAAATAATTTAAAGGGCATTATACTTATATAGTAGAAATATTAATATTATTACGATTAAGGTCGTTATTATTTTGCGGAGCAAAAGATATTTATTCAGCGTTTCTTATCGAAAAATGCACAATATTAATGACTCATCATAAATCATCGAGTTGTCTGTCTCTCACAAACGTTGTTATTCTCTGCCATATCTCAAAAAGCTTAAAACATTCAACATTCGAGACGTGATTTATAGGCTTCTGAAAATCTACACAAGGTACCTGTGATATTCTATTAATATTCCAAATGTAAAAATCGTTAAAGATAATTTAGTATGTTTTAATGTTAAAAAGGAACGAAATTAAGAACTATTTCCTTTTTCTATGTAAATGCCTTAGATTATATAGATGGAGTGTCTCCATACAAATGCTTCTAGAAAAGCGCATCAACGTTTTATATAATTTTGTGTGACAAATAGTTGAGTGATTCCTGTTGTAAAGAATATTAAAATGTAGGAATGGTGGCATCTATCGGTGTATATTTGTATCAATGTGTATATAGTTTATATAGTCTATATTGTCTATGTATAAGACTATACTTATCTGTGGTTATAAAAAAAAACTCTCTTGTTCGTAACCGCCCAAGCAACTCGTTTTATTATAATTCCTTTATAACTTCTCTATTTATTTATTTTATCTTATAAATTTTGCACCTCTTTAATGCTTAAAAACTCATTTTATTTATTAAATAATTCAATATAGATACTTTAAATTAGATTGTGTGCATAAGTGTATAGAATACTAATAAAAAAAAAGTCACATTTTACTATTAGCTGACAAAAAGTTGA